GGAAAGATCAACTAAAACAATAAAATGATAGAGATTTCGAACTTATTTGCTTATTTATCGGTTTTAGACATCGACAACTCGCCCCTTTCGTTTTTCGCGCTACACTTATAAGTTCTGTTCAGACTTCTTATGAAGAACCATATCCTGTTGCATTCAGCTCGTCGAGCTCTACAAGACACTATTCTAAAAATTTGGGACCTTAAATTTGATGGAATTTTTCAACGAGTTTCGCGTAAATATTAACCAGACGCGCAACTTTGCTTTGCGTCTCTGCACGAATTCCTGCATATGGTTGGGCCATGAAACGCACCAGTAGTTTATTTGCAAAATAGTCAAGCCGTGGGGAATTCAGTATAGGTAAATTTTAATTTCAGTAGGTGATTTTTTCATAAACCCATCATGCTCTCGAAATGCAGCGCGCATAGAACATACTATAGGCTGATCTAGTTCTAGTTAGTCCTTCCGGTGCCTCGATCGCGATTGTGACACACACCTATTGTGTCGGCTCCATCTGACGGCACGGCACCACTTTGGCGCCACGGCTTTTTTTTTACCAAATTCAATACAAAAATATGCGTTTGGCGGCGATCAAAGATCTGACTGCAACTATGACACTCGCTTTTGGAGCTGGCGCCATTTGGCGCCATAAAGCGCCAATCTCCGCTAAGGTGGCACCCACGCCTCGTCCCTGAAGACCCCTCGATGCAAAATCACACCGATTTCGCTAAAAACGATCGTGGAGCCAAATTTGCGCCGGGTTGACGACGAATGTCAAAAATGATTGTCTTAGTCGTGATTTGGACGTAAATCCCCCATTTATCCAGCATTTAAAAATATTTGTGACTGAAATTTGCTCCGCGTGACACACATGGTCTGTCATGCCAGCCTTGAATCGAAGAAAGCCGCGGTCACACTTGAACGTCACGCGAGATGGCCTCGGTCCGGAACGTATTAAAAAAATGAGCTGTAATACAATTTCGGTTCCTCTAAAAAACTAATAAGGCAAAGAGCTTTCCATCCTGTCAATGAGGACCTACTCCTGGACCTTCAACTATGACCCTGGTCGAGCATACAGGATACAGCATCGTGATGTGTGAAATGGTGGTGAAGGTGCGCCCCGCCCCCACCTAAATGAGGGTCTCGGTGCGCCCACCCCCTCTCCCAACAACGACCAAATACGGAGTCCCCCTTGTCCCAACAACCAGCAAACACGACCTCCTCCCTCTCCCAACAACGACCAAATACGACCCCCTCCCCAGCGGAAAAGTACGACCCCCTATGTGTTTCACACAACGATGCTTGCTGCCCACCCTGTTATGATGTGCTAACAACTATAGGATAACTCATTTCTAAATTCGTCACTGCTACTGCTGACTGGATCGTGAAAAAAGGCTGAAACGATGCTACACATCTTGTTCTAGACTACACTCCTTATCCCTGAGCCAGAGTAGGCGTGGCATTTGAACATGGCACGGAACTGGTTACTCGTGGAATATTCCAGTCTGGGACAACTGTCATCTTGTTCTGTGGACAGAGACACGACAACAATTGTGTCAAGATGAAAATATCTCACCAGAAGCATAGACTCCTTCAGGTTAAGTTGAAGCATGCAGCCACGCCTACCCGATCTCAGGGATTTCGAGTATAGCTAGGGGCAGAACTTTCGCAAAAATAACCCACAATAGAAACCACGGAGAGCTCCCACATACACCATTCCAATATTCGGTCGAATGGCAACTGTCAAGTGGGTTCAATGACTTCTTCACTCACATGAGTAACCGATTCCCATAAGAGCTTGTGAAATGTAGAAATAGGCGTAGTTGACGCGTATAAATCCCAAATAATAGATGCCAAACAGCACACTGGCTAGGGTAAGAATCCACTTCGAGCTGACATAGCTCTGTATAGCTGGAGTAATAAGTGATGAAGTAGCAAATGCCGTGTAATGGATTGCCTGTCTGAAAGCCATCAAATTTGCAAGTGTCTCAGAATTTGAGCACCTGTCTACTCACCCATAATATCCTGCGAGTCTTGAAATCGATCCTGGATACCGTTCGCTGATCGTGTTGATAACAGCTTCAGTTACGAAACCTTGTATGATGTAACCCAGGTAAAGGAATAATGTTCCAGCGCCTAACATATAGACAGAGAGGAGTTCATGACGGCGTGGCGTAAGCTGCATGCCTGTGTTGTCCAAAAAGCAGTTTTCGCCAATCCGGAAAAGTCAGGAAGAATAAACCAAACTGCAAAACCTTTCACTTATCAATAATCGAAAAATTTCCGTCACAAAAAAAATCGTGCAACGAAGCACATAGAACATCAGGATAACGTAGAGATGCGTCGGCATCAAAGGACCAAAAATGGCGACCTGGGGAGCACAATATGTTGGCTTAGAGAGTCCAAAGGATAAGACCACCTACTCCAATTTCAACTTGATGGTAGAGGAATTCAGACGTTCATTTGATTTTCTGGAATTCTCATGTAACCCCTTGCCTATCCAACCACTTACTTTGATTAGGCAGAAGCTATTTGAGGCTCAACGGAAAGATATTGTGCTAGGAGAGTGCACAGAAGAAAGAAGTACGTGCAGGGCCTAATGTCCTTGCAGCGCTCAGAGATATAGGGAGAGCATGCCTAGCATTGTGTGTCCCTCATTGATGAGTCCTTCGTTCCTTGAAGACAAAGCGTACCCTCACCTTCCTGGGGTCACAGGTTTCAGCAAAACGAGATCTGTTATTCTTCATGGGCTAACAAAAGGAACTTGGGATAATGCAAAATGCCCCCTTCAAGCTGAAAAGCGAAGGATATGGCGACTTTGAGTACATGTACAATTGTCAACTCACCTCTCGGCACCTCTGAAAAAACACTCTGACTGGTCCATCGTTGAAAGTCCTTGGCGTTTTTCTACAAAGGACTAACAAAAAGGAGAATGACCCCTCATGCATTCAAGTACATTCCCAGTTGTTGCTTCTCCTGTGAAAAGGTGGTAGGTAAAGGTCATTCTGTCGCTGCAGCCTACGATGCTTATCAACAATACCTCAAAAAAGACACACCCATTATGGAGGGGTTGGAGACTTGAGCAAAACATCATGATTTTAATTGCGTTCAGCTCTATGATACCCTTTGATAATGTTTGGTGATGTGAAGGGAATCGTCAGTAGACGCTAGGGTAATGATTCCGGCGCCTTAGCACATTATCCCTCGGAAAGGCGAGCATTTCCAAGAGCCTGGCCTTAGATCGATATCCACTAACGACAGCGCTCTCCTCTTAAATTGCTTCTCCTATCACCCCCCCCCCCTTTCCCATCGGCACCAGTCGCTCTTCGTATGATTTCTCTCAAAGTCCCTACCTACTTTTCACCCCATCTTCAGAAATTCTCTCTTAATTCATCCAAAATGTGACCGGGACGAGCAGAGGTGGGCGGCGCTGGGCTTGGACGAGAGAGGTCGGTTCAATTCAGCTGCCTAACATCAACAACAATTACAGGAAAGCCAAGGTTGCTGTAACCATAAAAAACTGTACAATCGCATTGGGGCCCGAAAATCTCTTATCGAGGCCAAGATACTCCCCCCCCCTCCTCTCCCCACCGACCAGCACCGACCAAATATCGCCTTTCCCATTGCTATCTGGAGCATATCATTGATTGGGGATTTTGTTTCGAGTATCATACTATCCCAGTTCCCTTTTTTGATAGATGGAACTCGAGCAGGGGGAGGCTTATAGCACATGTGGATACAGAAGTAAACCGCGGGAAAGCGGCATAAGTCAACCCGGGCAGGGGAAAAAGTTTATTTTCCAACGCCGCGGAGTTCCCTTAGAAATCAAATCCCGGTTTCTCTCACCACGAGACAATACCACCCCATTACAGCGCCGCTTTCAAACTGAAGAAAAAATAAATTATGTAAAATTTTCTTAGACAAGTAGACGAACTCCCCTGCCACCAGCGACTCTCCCAAACAATGTTAGCTCCGTTTATTGGACGCCATTGCAGTTATGTTTTTCCTCCAAAACAGGAGCAGAAGCTGATTAAAATCTTTGAAGAGTGATGGAAGCCCGATTGTGACGAAAAGTAGGGATTGACAATATTTGGCATACTGCGAGTAGATGACTGGTGCTGGGACTTGGTGATTCCACAGCATTACAAGCAGCATTGTACCCAAACGAACCCAAGGTTCCAGCTGAAAACTGTCAAGTTCTTATTCGGCGGCCCTGGTCAGACTACTACCACAATTGCCTAGCCCCGGACACGACTTTTATATGATTAATATCATGGCCAAGTGGAAGCGGATCTATATGGTCATCTGTGCCACTCTACCCAACGTGCCTCCTTCCGGGTAGTTCCCTCAGTCAGGTCCGCTCTGTCAAGAATAATCCATACAGGGGAGAGTGACTGGCTGACTCCAAGCTGTCGGCGGATATAAACAACAGTGGCGCTTACAACAATAAGGTTCAAAGGCCCTGCACAAAAAGTATATTATTGATATGTTCCTCGGTGAATTTAATGATAATAGGCGAGAGGCGCACTGGGTCGAGCCAGGGACACCGAACGCAAAGCTGTGCGGGATCAGCGAAAGGGGTTAGAATCTGCGTTGCCCTGGGAGCAGACGGAAAGTCATTATGGCTTTCGCGAAAAAATGTTGAGGGCTTGTTGACTTTTCTCAATTTTTGCCGTTTCACACATATACTAATAATAGTATAACGCAGCTCTGGTCTCTGCTACAAAAAACCTGTTCTTGTCGGAAGAAATTCTCTTGGCTGGCAGAAATTCAGAGAGGTGATACGTAGGATGGGGAAGGTCGAGGGGGTGGGGTCCGTCCTAGTAAGAATACCACGAAGCAGGCAGGATCGCATTTAACATTTACCACTTTTCCCACGGACTGTTAAATCTCGGGTTGATCTGCCGGTCGGTACGAAACCCTGTTCGGAAATAGCCTGCATAGAAAGCCAGTCCAACAACATTCCCTTATATTAGGCAGAGCATGCCTCTGTTATTCTTGGCTAACAAAAGAACTTGGTGATAATGCAAACAGGCCACCTTCAAGCTGAATAGCGAAGATATGGCGACTTTGACTACATGACATAACCTGTCAAAAAAATGTCTCGGAAAGCGAAAAGTACCTCTGATAGTCCACCCTTGAGAGGTCTCGCTTTTCTTTAAAAGCGCGCGAACAGAAAAGGGAGAAATGACCCCTTTCTGCTTCTAAGTACATTCCCAGTGTTGCTCTCCTGTGTAAAGGTGGTAGGGTAAAGGTCATCTGTCGTGCAGCTATAGTGTTATCAAATACCCGAAAAAAGAACACACATTATGGAGGGGGTGTGGGATCGAGCGAGAACTATGATTTTATTTAAAATGTTTGCGCTCTTGCCCCTTCTGCTAATGTTAGGCCGTGTGTGGGATTGAGGATCATGTGAGCGTATGGGCCCATGCATCGCCCCTTAGCACATATCCTCGGAAAGGGAGCTTTTCATTAGACCTGGCCTTAGTCCGATGTCACTACGACACGCTCTCCCTTAAAATTGCTTCTCCTATCACCCCCCCCCCTTCCCATCTCCATCCTCCATCTTGATGATTTACTTCGAAGTCCGCTCCTACTTTTTCCCATCCTCAGAAAATTTCTCTTCTTGATATTCAAAAACCGTCGCCAGGGCTGACAGCAGGAAGCGTTGGCGCGCGGGACTTGGGAGATGGGAGGGTCGGTCAATCAGCTGGGCTAACTTCAACTTCTGCGGGAAGCAAACGATTAACAAAAAAAAAATTTCGCTTGCGAAAATTCTCATCGAGGGTCCAAGCTACTCCCGTAGCTCGCCCCCCCCCTCCCCACCGACCAGACCAGCACCGGACGAAATATCGACTCGTTTCCATTGGGCCTATCTGGGCAATATCATTGGATTGGGGATGTTTGCTTCGAGTCCCATACTATCCCCGCCAATTTTCCTTTTTTGATCGATGAACTCGGAGCGAGTGACGGGGGGCGTATAGCACTATATTGTGATAGATAAAGAAAACTCCGGCCAAAAAGTCAACAGCCGGCGCAGACAAAAATTTTTCCCTCCGCCGCGTCAGTTCCTCTTGTAGCACCGGCGAAAATCAGATCCCGTTCTCTCTCACCAACGAGCAAATACTACCCATTACAGCGTCCTTCAAACGAGAAAAATAAGCTATGAAAATTTTTCTTAGACAAATTACGACCCCCCCCCCCCTGCCACCAGCGACGAAGCACCTCTCCAAAGTGATGCCTTCTTTGTGGGGCCATTGTATTTTCCCTAAAACAGAGAGAGAAATGATTGAAATTTTGGAGTTGTGGACGCCCCAAGTGGAAAACTAGTGGATGAAATCTTTGGTGTAGTAGATGATTGTGTGGCTGGTGATTCCATAGTACCAGCAGCATTGTACATAAGACGGTCCCAGCTGAAACAGATCAGTTCTTAATGCGGCTGCGTCAACTACTACGGGGACATGCCTAGGAGAATGAACTTTTGCTATATAAATATCATGGGCGTGGAAGGGCATCCTAATGACATACTACCAAGGGTTGCCTCCTTCGGTTGAAGTCCCTTAGTAGTCTGCCCCGGTCAAGAAATCCATATAGGGGAGGGTGACTGGTGTCAAAGCTGTCCGGGGTATAACAACAGTGGTGTTCAACATAAGGTGGCCCCAAGCCATTAAGGCCACATCGGATCTAAATAGCCTCCACTATTTCAAACCATTCAATTCCCTTATCTCCACTCCACTTGAGAGAGTCGGTTTAGAGAGTGGGGAACCTTCAAAGGGCCCTGCAAAAAGCATATTATTGATATGTTCCTCGGTGTTCAGAAATAGGTGTCACAAGTATGTAAAGGCGAGAGGCTGTGTTCAGCCCAGGACATGTGGGGATCCCAAGCGAGGGGGTAGAATTTGGTTGCTGGAGAGACGGAAGTCGTGTATGCTTTCGGAAAAAATGTTAAGGCTGTTGACTTTTCTCAATTTTTGCCGTTTCACATATCCTACATAATCAGATCCAGCCTCGCTAGCAGGGCACAGCATTGGTTGGGGAATCCCCATGGGGGGGTCGTATTTGGCCGCCAGGAGAGGGGGGGGGTCGTAATGAGTGCGTAGCCAGTATCGAGCAGCGCAAGGTGTCAATGTGCTGAGTGCGGTACAGCGAAGCTTACTTTGTAGAGAACTCAGATATTTGAAAAAA